GCTGGGATTACAGATGTGAGCCATTGCGCCCGGCATGGTTTTCAGTTTTTGGAACCACCACGCAGTAAAACAGGTAGAAGAGGAGAACACTTATTTTTTCTTTTTCTTTTTTTTGATGAACAAAAATTGGAGTCCCACAGCTGCTGAGTGGTGGGGGTCAGGACTTGCCCCCACCAGAGCTGGCCTTCTGGAGACAACCCAGGTGCTGACAGCCCCGGGTGCTGATGTGCTTTAGCTCCGGCCCGAGCACCAGCTGCTCCGGCTGAGATTGGCAGCAGCACTTCTGAGCCTGGCGCTTTATTGCGTACTATCTTATCTCAATAGGAAAAGGCAATTCAGGGGAAGAATTTCCTTGTCACAGTGCTCCAGACTTTCCATTGTCCAGCTTTCTTAGTCCTGGGTCATTCCCTGGGTCTGACCATTACTCATGTCCAGGGAGGCACCTTATCAGGGCTGTCTCAGATACAGGGCCTATTTTTTTCTCAGTACCAGACAAACTGGAATTTACTCACCCTTTGTGGCCTGACATCACACTACAATTAGTCAGCTCAGGTCCAGCCACATTTGGGAAGCTGCTTGAAAAGCAGTCTCTAGGCTGGGCATGGTGGCTCACGCCTGTAATCCCAGCACTTTGGGAGGCGGAGGCGGGCGGATCACAAGGTCGAGAGATCAAGACCATGGTGAAACCTTGTCTCTACTAAAAATATACAAAAATTAGCTGGGCATGGTAGTGAGCTCCTGTGGTCCCAGCTACTTGGGAGGCTGAGGCAGGAGAATTGCTTAAACCCCGGAGGCAGAGGTTGCAGTGAGCTGAGACTGCACCACTGCACTCCAGCGTGGCGCCTGGCAACAGAGCAAGACTCTGTCTCAAGAAAAAAAAAAAAAGAAAAGAAAAAAGAAAAGCAGTCTTTAGTAACCAGCTCTCTCTCTGCAAAGCCTAGGATTTCAGGGTCCTCTGCTGGCAGCAGTGGTGGAGATGTGTGGAGAGCTCATCGTGTGACGGGGCCAACCGTAAGAGTCTTTCTTTTCTCCCCCAACTGGCTTTGAAAAACTTCCAACCTACAGAAAAGATGAAAGAATAACGAACATGTTCGTACTGTTTGCCTAGATTCATCCATTGTTCCCATTGTGTTCCGTTTGCTTTGTCTCTCTCTCTCTCCAAGTACCTGAAAAATTTATAGTTTTTTTCTGCTGAAATATTTAAAAGTAAGTTGCCAAATCATGATGCTTCACTCCTAAATAGGTCAGCATGTATATCCTAAGGCGCTTTCTCCTGGCATGATCTCGGCTCATCGCAACCTCCACCTCCTGGGTTCAAGCCATTCTTCTGCCTCAGCCTCCCGAGTAGCTTGGATTATAGGCATTTGTAACCATGCCTGGCTAATTGTGTATTTTTAGTAGAGACGGGGTTTCTCCATGTTGGTCAGGCTGGTCTCAAACTCCCGACCTCATGTGATCCACCCTTCTTGGCCTCCCAAAGTGTTGGGATTACAGGCATGAGCCACCACGCCCAGCCAACAACCATAATTTATTATTTCTGTCAAGAAAGGAAACAATAAAGTTAGCTAATACATTGTACGTATTCAAATTTGCTCAATTGTCCCAATAATCCCATATAACTCTTCCACCCCATCCCCTTTAAACTAGAACAGTTCTCTAAAGATGTATCTAAGTGCTTCCACAGTCAGCAAACCTTTACTACAAAAATCCTCATAATCCCTTTACGATAGAATCTAATGATTTCTAAGACTTTTCTGATCTATCATAATTTTTCTTATAATTGCTAATGGTGGCTCAAGCTGTATTCTACTTTTATTAGAATACATTATCTTTCTTTCTTTTTTGAGACCAAGTTTCACTCTTCTTTTTTCTTTTTTTTTTTTTTTTTGGAGACGGAGTTTCGCTCTTGTTACCCAGGCTGGAGTGCAATGGCGCGGTCTCGGCTCACCGCAACCTCCACCTCCTGGGTTCAGGCAATTCTCCTGCCTCAGCCTCCTGAGTAGCTGGGATTACAGGCACGCACCACCATGCCCAGCTACCAAGTTTCACTCTTGTTGCCCAGGCTGGAGTGCAGTGTCACGATCACAGCTCACTGCAACCTCTGCCTCCCAGGTTCAAGTGATTCTCCTGCCTCAACCTCCCAAGTAGCTGGGATTACAGGCATGTGGCTAATTTTTGCATTTTTAGTAGAGACGAGGTTTCACTACATTGGCCATGGTTCTACGACCTTTTTTTTTCTTTTTTTTTGTCTTAGCAGGATGTTTAGACACACTTCTTTTTCTCCTTTTGGTTCTATTATCTTTTAGGTTTAATGGTGAAATATCATTTATTCATTAAAGCATAATGTTTGGGCCAAATGTAGTGGCTCATGCCTGTAATCCCAGCACTTTGGGAGGCTGAGGCAGGCAGATCACTTGAGGTCAGGAGTTTGAGACCAGCCTGGCCAACAAGGTGAACCCCATCTCCACTGAAAATACAAAATTTAGCTAGTCATGGTGGCGTGTGCCTGTAGTCCCAGCTACTTGGGAGTCTGAGGAAGGAAAATCGCCTGAACCCAGGAGGCAGAGGTTGCAATGAGCCAAGATGGTACCACTTTGGGCAATAGAGAGAGACTCTATCTCAATAAATAAATAAATAAAAATAAAGTATATATATATTCTTTGGGGACAGAGTCTCTCGCTGGAGTGCAGTGGCACCCATCTCGGCTCACTGCAACCTCTGCCGCCTGGGTTCAGTCGATTCTCCTGTCTCAGCCTCCTGAGTAGCTGGGACTACAGGCGCATTCTGCCACGCCTGGCTAATTTTTGTAATTTTAGGACAGACAGGGTTTCACCATATTGGTCAGGCTGGTCTCGAACTCCTGACCTCAGATGATCCACTGGCCTCAGTCTCCCAAAGAGCTGGGATTACAGGCGTGAGCCACTGCACCCAGCCATAAAGTATAATGTTTAATCCTGCCCAACAGTGGGGTTTGGGAGCTTTATCACATTTTTTGTTATTCTAAGTAGTTTTGTGAGAACATCTCATACAAATAGATCTGTTTTAAAAGTAATTTCCTGCCGGGCGCGGTGGCTCAAGCCTGTAATCCCAGCACTTTGGGAGGCCGAGGCGGGTGGATCACGAGGTCAAGAGATCGAGACCATCCTGGTCAACACGGTGAAACCCCGTCTCTACTAAAAATACAAAAAATCAGCTGGGCATGGTGGTGCGTGCCTGTAATCCCAGCACTTTGGGAGGCTGAGGCAGGAGGATCTCTGGAGCCCAGGAGTTCAAGACTAGCCTGGGCATCCTACTGAGGCTCCGTCTCTGTATTTAAAAATAATAAAATACCAGGAAGAAATGGGAAAAAAATAAAAGTAATTTCCTGAGTACAGTGTTTCTCAAAGAGTGGTCCTGGATCATCTGTAACAGAATCACCTGAAGAGCTTGTTAAGATTCCCAAGCCCTGCCCAAATCTAGAGAATACTCCAGAGTGGAGCCTCAGAGTCTATATTTGAATATCAGAGCTTTAGGCTATACTGACTAGCAGAAGGTAAGGCCCGTGAAATGGCCCTTTTCATCCATGGCCAGGCTGTCCTTGGGAAAGATTGTAGTGGCCGCCGTGTATGACATCCCTTGTTCCAGCTGTGGGTTTAGAGAATTCTTTTTTTTTTTTTTTTTTTTTAGACGGAGTTTCGCTCTTGTTACCCAGGCTAGAGTGCAATGGCGCGATCTCGGCTCACCGCAACCTCCGCCTCCTGGGTTCAGGCAATTCTCCTGCCTCAGCCTCCTGAGTAGCTGGGATTACAGGCACG